ATTTTAAATGATGCTTCAAATAGTAATAATAATAATTGCATAATAATTAGTTTATTTAAAATTAGAAATTTTACATTATTATAGCGGATATATTAAAATTAAAATATATCTTATGTAAATTTTTATTTTCATTACAGTTATTCACTATCTCTTTATATTTAAAAAATAAATAATAATTGAATATTCACATCATGGCTATTAATGACAATATTATAGCATAAAACTATTATAAACGTATGTTTAGTTATCATTTATATTTACAAAATAATATATTCAATGTTAATTTACAAATGGATTTTCACTACTAAGAAAAAACACATTAAAATTATAGTAAAATAATAGAGAGAATAACTATAATATAGTATATAATAATAATAAAAATTATAGTATATATAAAAAGAGTCTATCATTAAACCTTCAAAACACAGTTGTGTTTTGCGGGCACAACAACAACATTGTGGTCAAAATGATTAGATTTTTCTATGAATTAGATTATTAAACATAAAATATTGCTATGTTTTGGTCAAATTTCAATAGAAAATTCAGTTTTTACTTTGCAGTGGATATCAATCATAAGGAAATGAGAGCTAATCATATGAAACATAATCGCAACAAAAAATAATAATTTTGTACAATATTTTTAGTCACCGATAGAGAGAGAGTTCATAAAAAACATTTTATCAGTTATAGCACGTGAAATAACGCTTAATTTATACACATAATATTTTATGTAATTTTTTCATCGGTTAATAAAATATTAATATTATATTTATATGATTTTAAAAGCTAACAAACGGTTTAAAATAGACAAAGACTAAGTTCAGTAATAAAGTGTAGGTTTAATGTTAAAGATCAGAGTTTCAGGATTTGTATTGCGATTTGAAAATCATTAACAAAAGTTTGTTTCCTGTAAAATAATACATTAAATAAAAACAACAACAAAAATGCAAAACAAAATTACTATTTTCTTATTTTTGACGGCAAATCAATTAAATTCATGACTTGACTTTAACTCTCAACAAATAGTTTGTAAATCTTAAATATTTTTATAATTATTGTACTGTAAAATAAATTTTATCAACAAATCATATGTTAACCGTTAAGTATACAAAACCATATATTTTAGTGAATGTAAATAGAATTAGAATTTTAGTTTAGTTTAGAAAATATATTTAAATCAAAATAAACTTATATTCACTACAATAACTTTAACATCATTTTATAAATGTATTAATTTAAATTACAATTACATTAAAAGACATCTTTTGGCAATATTTAAGTCGTTTAACTAACAATAACATTAATATAAAGTATATACTGTATATATATATAATAATAATAATATATTAATATATATAATTTAATAGTTTTTATCATTTATAAACTAAAATAAGTAGTAATAATAATAATAGTTGTTTTTGTTGTTATTAAACTTTGTTGTGTTATTGGCTGTCAATCTAAATTAACAATTTACTTTTACTTTAATTATATATTTATTGTTATTGTGTAAAAATCAATTGTTTGCAAACAAACAAAAATACAATTAACTTAATAGATATTAAACAAGAATATAAACAATTTTACAAATGACAAGTAAAATAAATTTGTTATAATTTATATTATATTGAAAATTACTAAGAAATTGTATGAAAAACTATTACTTTATAAAAACAAGTAAAACACGGAATCACTCTTTTGTAAAAATTTATGTATATTTATAATAAAAACCAATTTATAATTATATTGCTTTGAATATAAATTATATATATTGTATAAAATATGTGTATGCAATCAATCAAAATTAGTTTAACAAAATTACTAAATAATTTCAATATCTTGTTATATTCATATTACAATTTTAAACATTAAAAATATTGTAAATATTTTTTATTTCCCAAAAATGTCAATACTTTTTTTTAGTTACTTTGATGTCTATTAAGGAATACTATATAAATACTGGTTTAAAATACTGTATACACTAATAATTATATAAATCTTTCAACATTATTAATAATTAATGTAAAATTGAATTTACTTAAATAGATATTTATTTATTTTAAATAAGTTAATATCAGATCTATTTGTCTAAAGTAATATTTGTCAAAAATTTGTTATTTTAAGCTAACATTTAGTTATCAAATGATGTCAAACGGACTTTTTATTTTTAGTTTTTGATGATAAACGTTAACGAAAAAACAGATAAAGCACTGTATTTAATAAATACAGTTTATAATAAGCATATGAATAGAAAAATTAACATTAACATTGACATTATATACTGAATATTAATTAATAATTAATAATAAATTCATACAACAGTTGTTTTTGTATTAAAATGTTTGAAAAACAAACAATTTTATATGAATTTTAAATTTTTAACAATGTTTTCGTGTAAATCGATATTAAGACAAGAGAATAGGTGTGTATAATGAAAAGTATAAGTAATTAATAGTTAGTTGTTATATAAAAATAGAGAGAGAGAGAGAGAGAGAGAGAGAGAGAGAGAGAGAGAGAGAGAGAAAGGTCATTTTATATTAATTCCTAACGTGACTATACAATGTGTTATTACAATAATATATGTGTGAAGCAAATTGGCAGCAATTGAGGCCAACATTTGCCGACCATTACAATGGTTTAGCCGTTAAAAAAGTACTATTCATTGCTGTCTTTTATGATGAATCTTCACAAAGCAAGCAATGAATTCTTTAACAACAAATAGACATTCAATGGGTGTTATGAGTACTGGCAGTGATAGCCTTCATAATGTCGGCTCTTAATTATAATCATAAAAAATATTTTATATGAATCTCCAGGAATTCAAGTACTTTATTGAAAATTTCATATCCAATGGTATGTAATGCCTATGGCTTATAGCTATAGTATGAATAGCCTTCCCTATGGCTCACGTCTGAGATCATCACTTCTCTATTGGCGACTGAAGTCATGACTCTATTATTAATATTATTATTATATTCTTAAGAAATTAGTTTTTCCTTCAATGAAGTCAACAATAATTTAATTTTATAATAACAATAAAGAAATAATGTGTTTGTGTATGTGTTTATAACTCTATAGCTGCATATAATAATAATAAGTAATATATATTATCGTTATATCGTTGCCAATAGTTTGCAGTGTTTTAAAAAAAAATAATTACTTTCTCTTATTTTAGAAAACATTTTTTATGAAAGTTTTTTTTTCGCAATTTTCAATCAACATTATGTCATTAATGACAAGTTTTTGCTAACATCACACACAACTGTATGATGTTTGTTATATTATTATTATTTCAAACATTGTTAAACTATACTAAAAGTTTAAACTATTTTTTTTATTAAAAAAAAAAGGAAATCTCATTCGCCGATGAAATACAAATAACAAATAAGTTTAAACAACAGAAAACTACACTTTTACTAAAAACAATGTATTTATCGCAATGTGTTATTATTGTATATAGATTTATAGGAAATTCAGGGCAATAACCGAATTTTTTCTGGAGCTCAACAAAAAAAAATAACAAAAAATTCAAATATCCAGTAGATTTGTATGTATGGAAAACATAATTACCTGAAAAACCTACTCATAATATATAAATTTCAGTTTATCTGATAAAAAGCCTTAAAATAACAAAATAAAAGAATATCTTTCTCTCAATGACTGCTTCGATATAATCAATGAAATAAAAATATTTTTTCAAATATTTTATACATTAATAATATTCATTCATATTTTTTTTAAAAATACTAAATTGTACTGTATTTTAGAAAATCATATAATGTATTATAGAAAAGATTAGAATAAAATAGACAAAATAAAAGACCAATTGATGATTTTTATTTGAATAAATACATGGTATATAAATTTAAATGTCTAAATATCTCTCTATTTAGTAAAAACAAGTTTATACTGTAAAATAAAGCACATTAATAATGTTGTGAATGTATACCTTTAGGCATCAATTGAATATATCTTAAAATATTGAGAAATTTTTTTTTGTATAAATGGAGGCTAACAATTTTGTAACTATTGGTTTATATTTTGGTTAAATTTTGTTATTTTGTTACTATTGTTATTGTATTTGTCATTTTTTATATAACTAAATAATAGCCATATTTTTATTGATTTAAAAAATTGATTGATTTAAAAAATAAAGCTTGAAATACAAGATATGTTTATATAATGTGAGGAAATCAGTCATAAATAATATATAAATTTCGTAAATCATCTCCAAATGTATTTTGTAATATAATTTCAATAATATATTATATTACAAAATTTGAAATTGATTTAAAACATATAAACAAATTGTTTTTCTTTGTTTTTAAATGGCAAGCCATCAATAATATTTAGTTAATTTAATAAAACATTGTACTGAATATTAAAGATGATATAAATTTATAATAAAAAATAATATTTACAATAAATAAACTTATATTATATAAATATTTAATTATTTAGTACTGTATACTTGTATTTATAGTTTTATATATTATTAGCTAAAATAAAGCACAGCATAAACAGGATAAGACAAATGTAAACTATAATATGTCTAAAAATATCGTAAATATATTATTATATTTAATGATTGTTTACAATAAATTTCAAGTCAATTGATTTGTTTGTTGTAAAAGTTAGAAATTACTGTACTCTGAAAGTTGTCATTAAATTTCTAATAGTTTTTCATCAAATAACTCATGTAATTAAAAATAAAAGTCAAATTTTATGCAAAGGGAATAACTTTATGTCAATGCAATAACACTTATGTAATAACAATAGCGTAATAATAATAATATAACACAACTCTCTTGACTTTTAAAATACTTTAGTTTTTTTATTTTCAATAAATATTTGTATATCTCTTGGCTCCGATGAAAATGTATTAAATTTGTTAAATTTCAAAGTTGACTAACAATATTAAAAGTTAACTAAAATAATCTATGTTTGCAAATATAATAGTATAAAATAGTGTTTATTAGTAATAAAAAAATTTCAAATCTTACCTTTAACTGTATGTATGGCATACAATCAAATTATTTGTAATCGTAATCATTATATGATGTCTACAATACAAGCAATAAAATGATGTATAAGTTGCGACTTAAATTGTTGCTAAACTTTGTTATCGCCAATTAAAATATGTATCTGTAAAATACAATACAATATATATATATAATTTAAGTCATAAACAATTATATTTTAAGCAATAAAACACATAAGTAAAACACTATTTTATGTGTGGATATCTGTTATAAAATAGGATATGAAATAAATTATGGTACAAATTTATATGAATAGTAAGATTAAAATATATTATATTACAGTAATAAATGTATAACTAAACGCAAATACTTTTTTAAAATGTCTTATTTAGTAAATAAGTTTCAATTATAATGACAACACTTTTCAAAAAATAATATACAATTATATTATACTGTATGAGTCGATATCACACACACATACACACAACATATCAAATATATGGTGACAATAAAGCATTGGTTAAACACCAGTTGATAATAGACCCGATTCTTGAAATAATGCAATGTTCATGTGTAGGGAAATGATAGCACACTGGGATGTATGCCTGTGCTTATCAATGAACTGCCACAACACTAGTGTTGTCTGAGTGAGAGAGAGAGAGAGAGAGAGAGAGAGAGCTCAACAAACACTGTAAGTCTAGTATTGAAGCAATCATTTAGTGGCGTTGAGGGCAATGCTTGGCTTATGTATAGCAGCTATTAATGAGAGGATTGGGAGGAATGAGAAGACTGAACACCCGATTTGATTATTAGAGTCGAAGCAAGTTTTCGATGGCAAACATCACGTCTTCGTTACTCAAAAAACAAGTCCTTCTGTCGCCATAAACACTATATATATATATAAATATATATATCTGTATATTTCAACCATTAATATATATGGTTTTTGATTTATCATTAAATTTTTATTTAAAATAAAACCTTATATTAAATTTTTTGGATAAAACCAAAAAACGAGTCATTCGTGTAAGCGATATATTAGAGGAATTTCTACTAATGATAACTGTCTTAAAAATATATGTTATTTTATTTTTTAATGTCGATTAAAGAGCACAAGTAATTCACAAATTCACATAAAATTTTTAATAACTTTTCATTATTTCAAACATTTACAGTATGTTACTATTGTATATAATTGATGTTGAATAAGCAAAAGTAAATTGTAAATCATATGTATAACATTTTTTTCAGTAAACTTAAATTTGCTTATTAAATGTCTCATTATTTTAAATATACAATAAAATGTATAGTAATAGTGTTGAACAGGACAGTGTAAATTATATTTATAGCTATAAAATTATACAGTAGTTTTAAAAAAGTTTAATCACTATTAAATATACACTTGAAATGGACTTAAAAAATACACCAATTGCTTACCATATGTATTGTTACAGTATATTACATGTACTGTACATTATATCCGTTTAATAACTATTTTAAGCTCAAATAATTTATTACATTTTATAAAAGTTTTTACGATATATTACACGTGTAGTACAGAGTCTAATGAATGAACTGAAATGACAATAACAATAACAATCAATAAATTTAACAATTACTTAATTTTCAATAAAAATCTAACATTTAATGATAAATGTTTGTATTATTGGTTTTCCTTATACTGATGATTGCATTTTCTGATTGAATTATAATTAGTTTCCTTGAGTTTCAGTTGTTTTAATAGTTGCTGTGGTTGTTGATTGCCATCAAATTAAATACAATTATTTATATATTTATATACTATATATATATATTAGTAAAGACGTGACATAATATACCACTTCTTTCCTTTTATTCTTTTATATTCAAAACACTTTTTGAATAAATGTGTGTTTTATTATGCATTTCAAGGTTTTGTTTGTGGGCTCTTAAATCATCACTTAAATCAAGATTTTAAATTTGAATTTATAAAATATCTTATATTTTACATTTTGTTTGCAACAAAATATTATGAATAATCAGGTGTTTGCTGTCTTTTGATTGACATTTATAAAGATATGCATAACTTTTTAATTCATATAACTTAGAATTGACCCCATGTTTTGTTTACTGTTAGAAACATAATAGTATGACTTATTTTACAATATCATTAAACTTCGATTGATTGATCAAAATATAATATTTTTTTAAGTTCAGAAATAAAAGCAAATTAATGTGCAAAGTTTGATCAATGATTAATATATATATACATTTGATATACTTATGTAATGGTAAATAATACAATGTATCATATTATAGTATACTGTAGATAAGTATATGTAATATACATTGAATATGTTGTAAATCAAAAAATCTGGTTTGAATTTTCTCACAATTGGTTTGTTATCAAGTGATGCAAAACATAACAAGATTTGTGAGAAATATTTACACCATCTCTCATGATATCAGTTAAGTTAATATAATTGAATTAAATTTCCAAATATAATATAAACCAAAATAAACCAATTAAATGACATTCATCATTGATGATCATTAATCAAATACTTAATCAAATAGTCACACATTTAACTTTTATAGACTCAATAATTTAATTTTGTAATCTTTAAAATTAAATTAAATATTTTTTAAACTCTTGAAAACAATTGACAACTTTTTTTATTTAGAAACATAAATGACTAATAGATTTTGCAATTATTATATAATTTATATGAAAATTATAATAATTGTGTCGTTTATATGACAGTAAAGCACTATATAAGGAAAGTTAGTTGTGAACGACCCCCACGTTGATAACCAACCGGTAAACACCCGGTTAAGCACTTTACGCAATGATCTGTAAATACTGTATATTATCTCAAATGGATTTTTAGAATTTTTATTGCATTCATTTTAATTATGTCTTTAATTAAACGTTTTATAAATTAACTGATTATTACTATAAATTATAATATATCATAATTTAATTGTCTGTTAGTTTAACAAATCAAATGCATGTCCGGACATTCATAGGAATAGGGAGTCAGTAGAAAAAAAGAGAAAGAGAGAGAGAGAGAGAGAGAGGGAGAGAGAGAGAGGGAGAGAGGGCATCGGCATTAGACAATCACTAGTCAATATCGATATATAAGTATAACAATTGTTGACATTTTTAAATAGCAATTCATGAATTTAATGAAAAATGACATTCAAAAAATACAATAATCAATTCAAAGATTGACCGACAATTTAATTGTGTATATATTATACTATTTTTTATTTATATATCACTGTATTTATTATGCTTTATATAAAAGTTGATTATCAAAAACTGATTTTAATTTTCCTCCGGAAATTTTTTTAAAATACAAATATATATATATATACTGTACTATATTATATATAAATCAAATCATTGACTGGAAAAAAGCCTATTAATAAAACCACTAATAATGAACCGACAAAACAAATGGTAATTTAGTTGACTGTGATATCCTAGTATTGAGTTTGCATACAATTTTCTCATTATTTATTATTTTTTTTGCTGATAAATGCTACAAAAAAAATCAAAACAATCAATTTATCGTTTATGGTATGAGTCTAACAAAAAATAAATTATTCATTAAATATAAATAAAAATGTAACAAAAAAATGGTTTATTTTTTCTAAAACATTTTTTTACAAAATCAAGCATAAAATTAAATTTTCAAAATAAATTAAATAAATAAATTAGTTAAATTATATATTTGCTATTATATATGAATAAAAATGTTATTAATATATATATATAAAAGTATATCAAATAATTTAATAATAATGTAAACTTTAATATGGTTTTAATGTGTATAAAATTACTGTTTCTGTATTATAACATGTATTATTATTAATAATATGAATTTCATATAACAACTTATGTTTTTGAATATATGGTAGGATAAGAAAAAGGATTACAATTAATGAGTTAGTATTAAATATATTATACTAAATATATATATATATATATATATATACAGTATTTTACATTTATACAATTATTTAGAATTTTTTAATATATAATTTATTTTCTATATTTAAATTATTTTATACATTATTATAATCACATCTATTTATATGCTGGACATTATTGTCTCTGTTCTTGAAATCACATAATTAAAACATTTCATTAATGTCTATTCATTTTTATTTTTAAACATAAAATCTATTTTATTGTTTTACAATATTATTGAATATTAGAGAAAAGGATTTTTGAGAACAATATAAAAAATAACAAAAAAACTTATATTATTTTTATATAATGTATATTATACCGTACAGTAATAGTGTATATAATCTTGTTAAGAAAAATATAAATGATCACAAAATAATACTATATATTAAACATAAATTTTAATAATAATAAAATATTGTGATACATCTCTACACGATTTTTAATTAATTTTCTCTGCTTTTTTAGCATTTACATGAATACACCCATATTTTGAATACAAAAAAAGTTAACTTTAATTTGTAATAAATCTTCAAATATATACTTAATAATATATAAAACACTTTTTTTGACGGAAAAGTTTTTAATTTTTTTTATTGTTTTTATATTATATTTTATTATTACATTTGTGACAACTAATTCTTACATAATTAATGATTTTGTTATAAATAATTTTTTTATAATCATTTGTTAATCTAACAATAAATTCCTGCAATATAATTAAAAAAATTTAGATAAAAAATTATTTACTTAATTTTTTAATTTAAAAACATATTTTTTTATTATTAAAAAATACTTTAAATTTTGTGGGCATTTAAAATAACTAATAATGTTTATTATAATTTATATTGTGTAATATATATATATATATATATATATATATATATATATATATAACTTTATTATGATTATTAGGTCAAATAACCAAATTAAGTAAGCTTTGACTTTTGATAATCGCTTTTTTGGTATAAAACTCAATAAATAATTATTTTACACATGACTTAATAGCTATTTAACATCCATTTAAAATATGGTTGTCTTATTTTATTATTAAAATCTTTTATAAATAGAAAATAATTTTATTTAAAAAAAACTCATTTATTGTCTTTTAAATACCCAATTGTATTGTATTACCGATTTTTCTGTCTGTCATTTAATATATGGTTTATATCACATATATTTCCGATAAAAATATCTGACATTTAATTTTAATATAAATATAATAAAATATTATTTTATTTATTTCAGTACTGAGTGGGTGTTTAGTCTCTATGATCTAAATTATGATCTATTTTTTATTTATTTTATTTGTGTTACACATGTGAAGGGAATTATGCTTTAAGGGTATTAAATACAAAAATATTATTTTCATTATATTTATTAAACATTAATATAATAAACATAAATATTATGAAACTTCCAGTTTATTGTAAACTGTTTAAATAAAACGTATTTTACAAATCATCAAAATTGAGTTTTTTAGAAATTTATTTTATTGTAAATCTCTTTTTAACTGTCATTAAATTTATTATTAACAGTCAATATAATTTATAATTTATATATATATCGTAATTGTATTTTTAACAATAAAAGTTCTAAAATATATAAATATCTTTATATTTTTAGAAAAAATCACAAATCATTATTTGTATTAATCTATAGGATTAACAAATTGAAAGAAATTATTATTTATAACTTGAGTTTTAATGCAATGTATTAATAATATAAAGTATGTATTTATTACAATACAGTCAATAATCTTCGGGAAATTCTTTGGCATAAATCAAATCATTTACTTAATATAATTGTTTATCTGATTAACTCTTCAAAAAATAATACTTATTTGACATAAATTTATTGCTTTCACTTTATTAATTTATTTT